AGGCATGTCGCCTCTTACTAACACGTCAACTGTGTTTAAATATGTTCAAAACAGAGAGGGAGGCTTACGAGTACACCAGCAGTCCTACTTCATCTATCTCCCTTTCAGAAATTCTATATGTTTGGGTGCCAAGGCCCATCCCTCGTAGCCAGGACGGTGCTGCTGTGGAGTTGACGCGCTCTCGTTCGGTGCTTACTCTGGCCACCTTTCTTGGACCCTCCCCCCACTCTCCTTTGAACAGGGAAGAAGGAAGGTTGTGCAGCTCCTCGCTCCGTCGCACAGGTGTGCGACGTGGGCCACGTCGCACACGTCGCCAGTGGCGAACACCAAAAGCTATTGGCCTTGTCACTATGTCGCGCATACAGGTAGCCCTGATTAGTATAGTCTTGTACGAGGATCTTGGCCTTGCCTCCATCCACCGCTTTATCTATAAGCAATGACCCATCTAGGTTTGGGTGAAGGTCCAGAATGTGAAACTCCAATATCACTAGCATATATATAGCAAATTGCTATTAGCAATATAAGACATTTGAACTCATGCGTGAATCACTCATAGATCACATTCGCCTACTCGGTAGTCCAGCATTGGTGAAGTCCCACGAGCGTTCGTTATTATAATTCACATGGAGTTGACGAAATGAGGAGTAGCGAATTCGCAAAGTGTTGCACTGAGTAAAAATGTTCTGCCCGTCTAGCTCTCTCTTAACCTGATCTAATGCAAACACGAATTGCCACAAAATTCTCCGACGATTAATACCTGCAATTTCTTGACTCTTAGTTTCAACTAGGGCGTGCATTACCGTACCTCGGTGAAATACTATTACTCTTAGCATCGAGTTGCGGCCATAGCGCGCCATTATCTGATTTAAGTCCTCACTCAATGCAAGGAGGTCTCGTGTGGCCGTATGGACAACATTCCTTAAACGGGCAAAGACTAAAAACTGCTCCCTTGTGAGCTGATATGCATCGGTGCGAGTCTGACTACTAGAGGGTGTTGTCGTAGTAGGCGTGGGACTTTGACCTCACATACCCACTAGCTAGATTCCCAAGTGATCAGTGTCAGTTTTGGTGACAGCTCTGTACGGCGCCTTACTTGAGATATCATGGTGATATTTACCGGATAGACTATGTTGCTGACAGTGAAGAGGAGTACTGGACTTGGATTACAGATCTCCGGATACTAAAAGTAAGGACTCGACCATGGCATAATACAGCTACTACTACTACTACTACTACTACTACTACTACTACTACTACTACTACTAGCCAAGCAAGCAAGTTCGGCTTGACCAATTAAAATCCTCGCTGAACCAAAACGATGGTGAGCTTGAGTAACGCCAAAGTGACCTTGTACAGTGCGTTGCGGGTACATGAGAAGTTACCTCCCGAGTCAACGCTCAAAGACGTGTCTCAGAAGGTTCCTTCGAAGAGGATCTTACCCAAGCTAGAAGGCCGGCAATCTAATATCTGTGACATATCAAGCTGATCACTGAGCCCGGGTCAGTAGATCATAACGAAGAATGCAAAGATGACGAGAGATGAAGACCGGATAATCAGTCAACTCCAGCTCAAATTCAAGATTGATAGCAATTTGATTGGAAATTTCAACATCTACACGTGAACGAATGAAGATCTCTGTACACCGAAAGAAGAATTCCAGGCTGGAACCGGCTCGAGAGGCTCCTGGACAGCCAGACTGCTGTCACTCCAGTCTCGACCGGTTGCACCACTTTCTGGTTCGGGTCGATCACAATGGCGTGCGCCATGCACGCACGAGCGATACTTGTTAGTAGCAAGTTGTTACGCTTGCTTGATGCTTGAATTTGCCCCATGCAAGCCTGGAACTTCACTCTATTAAATTCTCGATACCTAATTCGCCCAATTTTCTTTTCCCCTGCGAGCATACCATTTCTATTCATTCTACAACGTGGAACCTGTCGTGTAGACTACTATTCGGCAATTCGGCACCATCGAGAATATCGGATCCTACTATGGAAGATTTGATGGTCGATTTGACCCCCCCCCCTTACCGCAGGTATTAAATCCTAACATCTATGCTCGGAATTCATAACGCTAACTTGACCCGTTTACTTCCAGGTCCAATTTCGATCCAGATCTCCTCCTCATCGTACAGTGTACGGCGTACATCCATGCGGCTTGAGAGAAGAAAACGAGCTCATGATCTCGACTGATCCCTCACAACTGCATAACAGCATGCCAAAGTTGTTTATGTTGTGGCGAAACGTTGGTGTGTCATGCTTGTCTCTATTGCGCCCAGTTCTCGGAGCATCGAACATCTTACTTCTATCATCGTTCAAAATCTGCGCCTCAAGTATATTATTACTTTATCCATTCTCATACCTTCCCATCTGTCCTTGGAGCGTAACGACTCCCGGAGCGTAGCGACAGGGTTCCACTAGGATGCGTACATCTTATGTTGATCGATCATCACGAGTTAGCTATAGTCTCAAGGTTCCCTTTTCTCATATATCAGTCCATACCGATCTGTCCTGTAACAGGACTCCTGTTCGTCAATTGCGGCCCGGCCATCTATCGTTAGTTCTCTACGTCTCCCTCAACAATCCCCGCATGTTCTTGGTCTGTGCTAGTAATGCTCGACAACGAGCTTCCTGAACTCATCGGGAGACGTGAAATTTCTTTCGTGTCTGTGATGGTGTTCGCGCGCGTATGCACGAGTCTCTCTCGCCCATTACTCGTTGAATGAAACGGCTCAGGAGGGCTTCGGCTCGCAGCCCTCAGGCTGAAATGGATTAGATAAGAAGCCTTATTACCTATTATGGCTATCCCAAGTATTGTTGAATCAACCAGTGCGGGTGTTACTAGGGCACCTGCACTGGTTGACTAGGTACTAGGTAACAGGTGGGGGCGCGTCACGTGACGCGCCTGGGAAGCAAGACGGGCACGCATGCACGACGAGTCGTTCGTTGGAAGAGCCTTTGAAATCGAGGCTCCAATGGGACGGCCCGGGCTTGCTCTGGCCACCTTGCTTGGACCCTCCCCCC